AAGTTGCTCGCAAAGTATTTGATGGTTGATTACATTTTTATTTTTCCTGCATCTCCTTTCTGCTGTTCTGCAATTTCTTTAGAGTGTTTTGACTTCTTCGTTTCTCCAGGGTGATGCATGTTTTACGTTAATCTTTTTGGTTTGAGTGGAGCAGCGGAGTCAAGGCTTTTCTTCAGTTTGCTGATAAAATGATTAAAAATAAAATCACAGGGGGGCTAAAACCTCGTCTAAAACCCTGGTAAGATTTGCAGCCACTTCAGAGGTTAGATAGCGCCTCCTCACAGTTCACACCGCTGAATAAAACCGGTGATGTTAAAAAACACACAGTAGTGGTCAGAGACAGCCCGTGGGTGATGACCAGGTCCAGAGTGTGTCCTCTGTTGTTGTTGTTACATTTTGAGTGTATGTTTGTTAAAAATTCTGTCTTTAAGTGTGACAGATAAAACTGGAGGGCTGCTAAAAACAATAGCATGGAATTCAAAAGTGGTAAAATGATCAAATAAAATTTGTTTAATTTGATCATTTGTTAAAAGTTGTGATGCTGTTTTTTCCCAGGTGTCTGTGGGGCTGCTTCACGGTCGGGCCTCTCACATCATCTGGCCACCAAACCGCTGGCAGCGAATCACAGCGTCGCTCCCTGCAAACCGAGGACCGCTGGACGCCGAAGAGGAAGAGGACTGACCACGCCCACAGAGTTTCTGTACTTTTCTTAAAATGTCAAATTCACAGAGCCGCTCGCTGTGAGCGTGTGAGTCAGATTACTGCATTTATATAAACCGTGTTCATTGTGCACTCAGGTGGTGTTTTGTTCATTTCACTGCAGTCTTTTGTTTCTAAATATTTCTTTCTTGAAGGATGAAAGGAAGACAAACTGAAGTCCTGTCCATGAACTTCACATTTTACATGAAAAATTAAAGATTTTGTCTGTAAACCACCAAGAATTCTTTATTTTTGTTTGTAAGTTTGTGCTATTTTATCAACTAAGCTAATAATCAGTGATGGGCAATTAAACTCATTTGTAATTTCCACCCTATCCTGGTGTTGAATGTTTGAATCTGCTCATTTCCAGCTGCATATTTTTATTTTTTAAATGTTTTCTCTTGTGCCCTTAAAGCTTCTGACCATATTAGGGATTTCCCCTCTCTGTGACGGCAGTCTCATGTCTTCATTCACATTTTAGCCTCATCTTTAGCCTCGAAGGCTTTGAGCTCGTGGGAAATTATTCTGAATCCTTAAACCAGAAATATGAATTTTCTTAATCTAAAACATTTTTGGATTTTGTTTACTAGTAAAATGTTGTAGCAGGTCACAAAGTGCGGGACTAAGATTAAACGTTTGAGGTTTCGGTGTTCGTCTCAGTGAACAGCTTCAATATTTCAGCAACACCCAAATTTTTAGCTTATATGTCATCTATACTTCAACAGGGAGCCCCAGCTACCCACGTGACAACCAGCCGTGGGCTCTCCTCCCGAGTGGGTGTGACCAGAAAACCCAGGAGGCACGCCTCTCTTCACTATGATGGTCCAGTATAATGTCCACACCAGTCAGCCCGTTTCTCTCCCACTCTGCTTCCCATCACTCGTGATTCAGCGTCTCTTTAGCTCCATAAATATTCTGAATTAAAGCACCTCTTCGATTGTTCGGAGTAGGGATGCACCGATACCACTTTTTTGGAAACGAGTAC